GCTCCCCCACCCCGTCCCGGGTCCGCTCCCCCACCCCGACCCGGGTCTGCGGAAATGCTTCTCCGCTCCAGCCTCAGCTGCAACCCCCTCAGTGCTGCTTGGGGGCAAGCCTGGCCGCCTGGAAATGCCAAGGCGCCCCTGGACTCCACTTTATGGAAGCCCAGTGTCGGGCCCTGGACTCACAACCCTGAGGCCCAGGAGGCCCTGCTCTCTGCAAGTGCCCAAGTGCTTCCACCCTGGGCCTCGGGTTCCCCAGCTGTCAAAGGAAGGGGTCCACTGGGCAGGTCATCGCGACAGTGATGGTGGAAACAGCCAACGTGGGTGAGCCCTACGAGGTCTTACATGCCCTCTGAGGAAGGGAAGTGACTACCCAGGTTTGGCAGATGGGGAAATCGAGGCCCAGAGAGGTGCAGGGTCACCCTACCAGCAAGGGGCCCACTCTGGAACCCTCACACCACACCACCTGCACCACCTGCCGTCAGCCCACCCAGAATCCACACACGCCTGGGAACTTCGTCCAGTCGCTGCTCTCCGGGCACCCACTGGGCATCCCTCCTCCCCTCCAAGGGGATGGCTTCTTCCACAGGGAAGCCCACTGGGAGCAGGAGGGAGGCCATGGTCAGATTCCCAGCCCAGAATGACTGCTGGCCAGTGACTTCATACTCAGCCTCCAGCTCCGGTAAATGGGACCCAGGACAGCCACGGTTCTGATTGAGGGAGACCCCACGGGAACAGAGTTTAACCCCTTTACAAGCTACTGCTGGCCAGGACCACCTCATCTCCCCATTTCCCAGTCCCTGGTACCCCCAGCACAGACCAGGCAATCAGGGAACCGGTGAGTTGTGGCTGCTATTTTCCAAAAACAACCACAGCAACGTTTCCGTTCCCACACGATCCTCCACAACTTTCCCCTCGGAAGGCAGATCGGAGACGTGGAATCTGCATTCCCTTCCCTTGCACGTGAGTGGCTTTTGTGACATTACACGATTTCCACGGCGAGGTCACAAAAGGTGGCGCGTGCCACGGCCACCGGGGGCTCACCGAGTCGCCCAGCAGCCATGTTGTGAGGAAGCCCAGGTGACGGATAACTCCTGCTTTGCGGATGCAGGAACTAAGCAAATTCTTGTTTTCAGCCACAGAGTTGTCGGGTCATACATCGTGCAGCAAGCTCAACACACAGTAGCTGTCAGAATTCTAACCCGTCCTGGGTCCCCACACAGGAGTCCCCACACGGACGTGTCTGCCACGTGGCCACCACAGGGCTGGGCAGCAAGTGCGGGGAGCAAGTGCGGGGCCTGCAGACAGGCGGACCATCCGTGTCACGTGCACAACTGTCCCGGAAGCCAAGACAGGGATGCAGGGCGGGCAGCTCCCCGGGACTCACAGGCCAAGGCCACCGCGGGCCAGCTCCGTGGTCCCTGGGGCGGTCCCTCCTAGTCATCGGAAGCCAGGGTGGACAGTGTGCGGTGGGTGTCTCCCTCAGCAGCGGAGCCACACGGCCCGGGAGGCCCCGCCCCTCCGTGTGGGGCAGGTGTCACCGATGAGTGAGGACCAGGGCGTACATGAGCCAGCCCCCTTGTCTCAGGTGGAGGGAACTCCGGGCAGCTCATGCTTCAGGGCCCCCCGGATCAGACTGAGGCCAACCCCAGCCAGGACCACTGCCCCCCACGGCCTCCCTGGTCGCCTGGCTGCTTGGTCTTGGGTCCAGAAGTCCCGTGTGTCATGATCCTGGCTCGACCTCTGCCAGCCAACAGAGTCCTGGGAAGCTGACATGACCTCCTTAGCTGACCTCAACCTCACGGCAGTGTGGGCCGTGTAACACTGCAAACCTCCCTCTTCTGGCAGCACCCTCTCCCCCGCTCTCCAAATGCACCCGCCCCACAGTGGTTTCCCCACTTCCCCCCAGAAGGCTCCTCGTCCTAGCTCAGCTTCCTTGGGGGAACATGGCCTCCTGGCTCTCCTCTCTCCTCACGCATCCTCCTCACTCTGCACCTCACCAGCCCATGGCTTCAGTTACCCCCTGGACGCCAAGGATTCTCAAATGCATGGCTTGGGCCCCTTGCCCTGCCCTCGAGAGCCAACTGCCTGCTGGCTGTCTTCTGGCGATGTCCCAAGGACATCCCAGGCCTGCCATATCCAGGACAGACCCTCCAGTCAGCCTCCCGAACCTGGGGCTCCCCTGGCCTTTGTGGTCTCTGTAGAAGCTCCCAGGCCACCGAGATCTGGGGGAGCTGACCGGATGCCTCCTCCTGCCCCCCAGCTGGCCCTTTTCTGCATCCTGTTGATTTCCCTTCACAGCTTCATCCTGGGCACTCCTCCTGCACACTGGTCCAGCCCACCTGGCTGACCCCACCAGCCAATGCGAGTGCTCCGGGCTCCCTGTCCTCAGGGTGACTCGGGGATAGCCAATGAGGGGCAGCTCTGGCATTTTTTTTCTAAGGTGGCTGAGCTGGGAGGACCTGGGCCTGAATTCCGTCACCACAAGTCCTGTGAACAAAGCCAGCACTCAAGAAAGCGGACCCAGGAGACTTCCCAGCTTCTTTTCTTGCCTCTGTCCTCTCACTCTGCCCCAGGCACCCTGGTCTCTAGTCACTTGTCCCCACCGCAGGGCCTTTGTACATGCAATTCCCTCTTTCTGTCATACTGTTCCTCCAGACCCATGGGGCTCGCTTCCTCACTCCACTCTGGTCTCTGCTCAAATGCCACCTCGTGAGAGACACCTCCTCTGACCACTATCTAAATTAACACTCCAACGCCCACCCCCACTGCTAATGCTCACTGTGCATTGCCTTCACAGCTATTGTTGCTACTTATTTACCAGCTTGTTTATGACCTCTCTCCCTATTTCCCCAAGGGTGAGGGGTTTTGCTAGTTTTGTTCACTGCTGCATCCCCAGCGCCCCAGTTCAGTGTCACTGAACAGTCAATCAATTTTCCAATGGAAGAATTTGAAGCTCATAGATGTAAGTGCATTCAAGTCCTATGGCTGTTGTAACAAATCACCACAAACACAGTGGCTCAAACCACACACACTGATCCTCTGACAGTCTGGGGTCTGAAGTCCTAAAACCCAGGCGTGGGCAGGGTTGGCTCCCCCCGGCACCCCAGGGAGACCTGGCTCCTGCCCCCCACCCCATTTCCAGAGGCCCCACATCCCTGGCCCACGGCCCCCCTCCATCCTCACCGCCAGCAGTGGCAGGTCAGCCCATCTCTCTGACTCTGACTCTCTCGGGAGCGGGGTAGATTTCACAGGGCCCACCTGGATTAACCAAGATACTCTCCCTATCTCAAGATTTTTTTTTTTTTTTAATGTTAGCTCTACGCCCAATGTGGGGCCTGAACTCAGGACCCTGAAATCAAGAGTTGCATGCTTGGTGCACCTGGATGGCTCAGTCGATTAGGCAATTAAGTGTCTGCCTTCAGCTCAGGTCATGATCCCAGGGTCCCTGCTCAGCTGGGAGCCTGCTTCTCCCTTTCCCTCTCCCTCTGCCACTCTCTAGCTCGCTCTCAAATAAATAAAATCTTTAAAAAATAAAAATGAAATGATTTGCATGCTCTACTGACTGAGCCAGCCAGGTGCCCCTTCCCATCTCAAGAGTCTTAATCCCATCTGCAAAGTCCCTTTTGTCCTATAAAGGAACATATTCACAGGCTGAGAGTAGGATGTGGACGGCTATGGGGGGCATTATTCTCTACCATAGTACCGGCCCCAGAGGGCACAGCCCGCAAGAAGGGGCAGAGCTGGCCTTGAAGCCGGTTCTTTTGCATCCAGAATACACTAGCCCTGAAGCCTTTGTCTTTGGACTCCATTTCCCCCTGCCCTTG